TAGCAAAAGAATAGCACTGTTAAGAAATTTATATGGAGAAATGGGTTGCTGTTATTTTTTGCTGATTTTACTGAACTTGACGACACAAGCCAGACTGCCACTGTTTTGTGGGCACCCAGGGATGAAGGTCAACCTCTCATCAGATTTGTGAGAGCTCTGAGAGTGCCTTGGACAYGCAGGCTCAAATAGGTGTTAAACACCAAGATCAACTAAGCACTCAGAAAAAAACCTTTTGAAAGTCCTCTCTGCAGTTTAGGACACTGAATTTGGTCTCTCAGTCATTCTCAGTATTTTGGTGTTACTCAACATGTAAAGTGCAACATTGCTGGTGTTGGCTACCAGTTGAGAAAAATAAAAGTTAGAACTGGTTAAAAGCATTGGGTGAGAGGATTGCACTGGATGGTATTTCCTTGTCAAATCTCAAAAATATTCCATAGCAGCATTGAAATGGGTCCTTTTTTTTTTTCTTATGTCAATAACACCGAAACGCTTGGTTTCAAGTTTTCTATTTATCTTCATATTGTTTCAGTTTTATTCTGTGTGTTTTGCTCCAGCATCAAAATGATGTTTCCCAGGGGAAAAGGATATTTGAACTGCATAAAATTTCCCACAGAGCAAGAAATATTGCTTTTCTTCAATCCAAGAGCCTGTAATAACTTAGATTAGGAAAACAAACAAATAAATAAACTACTGCAATTGATTTTTAGCAGAAAAATACACCCAGAACCTTACAAATATCAGAGAATTGAAAGTTACTTTATCATTTTACATTGCTTTGATAGAAAGCTCTKCTAACAGATTTTGGAAAAGGTTTTCCAAAATCAGCCTTTTTCTCTGTCTTTATACACCTATAGTTTAATTAGATATAAACATTATTCATTACCTTTATTCRTATGTACAGCCTTTCCTCCATTTTATAATATACAATGCATTTTTTCCAGTGGAGAGGTGTTTGTGTTTCTGGCATGACTGACTTGGTGGCATCCAGAGCACACAGATCCAGGGAAAGACACACATGTTCCCAAGGAGCACAACAGGGACAACATGGACAACATGACATAGTTAAGAAGTCACACACCATCCTTCAACAGRCACTACCATGTCTTAGCTGGAAATACTAGCCCATTGTCCCATTTTTTTTCTAAGACATTCACCAAGGTAAAGGAATAGAAATAGGAAAACACTTTGGCKGGTGGACTTCAAGTATTGTGAGCAGAATGGGAATGTGGGACATATTTGCTAGCAAAACTAGAGTTCATTTCTGCCTGCCTCTTGTCCTTCAGAAAAAAATTAGCACAAAGAATCACTGAAGTTTTGGCATATTTATGGAAATTGTTTAGAAACTAAATTGTGATTTAATCATATTAAATAATTGGAGGCTGTAGGATATGCTTGCAGTTTCCCATTATAATGTCTCTTATGACTTTGTAATAAACAATCTCTTGATCACTGAGAAATTTTAAAGTAATAATAATAAAAAAGAAATACTACCCTTTATATTGGTGTTAAACTCATTGCAGAGGAAACAAGCTGCTCTGCACTTTGAAACAAATATTCTCCCATATTGTGTCTCATATTTTGTTCTCTTATTTCTCCTCAGGGAATGAAAAAAGGGGGTTGAGGGACTGCCTGGAATGTAAAGTATTTTCACTCTTCCCCTTTTTTCATTCTTTAAAATGCAAAGTATTGTCATCTTTGGAAAAGTTAGAAAGCAGAAAAAGCATATTGAACTATGGTAATTTTACACTGTTTAGCATCCTTGCTTGATGAGGCTTTGTAGTATCACCAGCTGGCAAGTAGAAAAAATTAAATTGCATCTTCCTTGAGGGTAAAAAGCAGGGGAAAAAATGGGGAATGACAGATTTTACATCAAAAATTTGTAAAATAATGAAATTTATTGAAGAATGCTTATTTTCAYGCTAAGTACTAGAAACAATAGACAGATTTCAGAATTTGCTGCTAAGATGTGGGTTTGGTTTAGTTTGGTTTTCTATATTTGAAAGGAGGGGGTTAGTCTTGGAAGAGCTATTTTATTAGGCTCACTGATAGCCAGGACTACCAGTGCAGGGGCTCCTGGAGTAGCTCTGGAGCATGGAAGCAGTCTAGAGCTGGCTCGCCATGCACAGGGACTAGCAGCATCCATAAGTGCTTTCTTGGATCACTGCCCATAAGTACACTAATTGTTTCTAAATAGATCCAAGAAGCGAACTGTTKCTAGCTGGAATCACTTTCTAGRTGAAACCTAGAAATGYTTCTTTTTCATCAWCTACATATTTGTGTGCTTTGGAGACATGGCAACAGAAGAGAACAAATTTGGATGCAGAGTTTAGTGCTGTAGTCTCTGTGCAGTGAATCATGCAATAGAATCATAGAATGGAATGGTTTGGATTGGAAAGGAAAGGACCATAAAGATTGTATCATTTTAGTACCCCTGCCATGGGCAGGGACACCTTMTACTAGACCAAAACTGCACCCAGTGGGGCTTGAACACTTCCAGGGATGGGGCATTCACAACTTCTTTGGGCAACCTGTTCCAGTGACCCACCACCTTCAATTTCTTCCTAATATTTAATCTAAACCTCACCTCTTTCCATTTAAAGCCACTTTCCCTTTGTCCAATCACTGTGTGCCCTTTTGAAAACCTCAGCATTGATTCATAAATAGGTTGAAATATCCCAAACACTGCCACCATCATTAACTTCACCCATGCCATCTCTCTGCGTCATAATTGCCTTGTGTCAGGAAAGATTCTTGACTGAAGACAACACTCATGTATGAATAATAAGGATAAGAATATATATTAGAGTTCCAGCTAGAACAAAATGCCAGAGCTATTAAGTGAACAATGTATTTGAGCTATCTAAATCATAATTGTTGCAGATATAGATTTAAAATATTTTTACTTTGTTGCTGTTGTTGTGTTGTTGAGTAAGAGAGTGCCTTTAAGCTTGTGCATTCAGCCTTGCCTTAAAACCACTTCTAGGGTTACTGAAGTAAATAAGAGTTATTTAAGTGCTTCAAGTCTGATGTGCCAAAGTACTTTGTGAAATGGGTTTAAAATCTCTTTCGGCCTTGGATTTGTTTCGATTTTTTTTTTTTTTTTTAATGCTGGTATTTTTTAAATCTCTACTACTCTATACTGAAGAGAGAAAACTTTCTTTTGCCTCAGTTTTTGAGATGTTCCCTTAACTAGARACTCTTGTGGTACTATAAACCAACCTTGGCAGACTGGATTTGCCCCTATATAGCCAAGTGAGGCAATTAATATCTTAGACAAATGTGTTCTCTGGCTGCAAGTAGTATATTAAAATTCTCACAACAGCTAATTCCCTCACAACTCCTTTGACAATTGCCAGCAGCTTCAGAGCTAGGAAGAGCTAAGCAGCCTCATTATAAATCATCAGGTGAATGGAATGAGGTTCAGTGTTTAAAGAAAATCAGAATAATAATTCCATAAAATTGAAGCACAAGGCCCAGTGGAGAGTAAGGAATTAAGAATTAAGTTACTAGATTTTTAAGCAATCATATGCAATAAAGCAGCTGAAATATTGCTTTATGATAAATCTATTGCCAATGCAAATCTGTTTCATTCTAATGGCTACTATAATTAACTGCATGGTGTGTAAGATGCTAATTTTGTGGMTGAATAATTGGTTAAACCAAATTTTGTGTATTGCAGTGTAGTACTCTTGTTCAATTTTCCACTTAATTTCAATTAATATGGATTTTGCATGTACTCCACTGTTGCAGTTTTTATGTCTATTATTTTTAATTAAGGAAAAGCAATACCTTGGTAGAACACAACAAGTGAGCAGCACTATGTGCTTTTTCCAAGTTTGAGGTTGTTTTTTTTTCATTAAGATACTTCAAACTCATAYTGCTTAGCCTTCCAAAATGTTAATCACTGCTCCTGAAGTTGACTGGAAATGGTGATGCCAGCTTCTGCATCAAACAGAAGGGAAAAAGGATGTCTCAGTTCTCCCATTCACTTACTGACTTCTGCATACAGTTTTTCAGGTCCAGCTATGTATTTTACTACCCTTCCTGATGTTTCCAGTACTGCAGTGCATTTTAGTGATTAGAACTGTGTGGTGATGTTCTTGTTCACCATTGAAAAGTTGTGCTTGTATGTAGTCATACCTATTTTATGATGGAATTGACCACCAGCTGGAGATTCTTACTCATTTTCCTCTAAAGGTGCCTACACATTAGACTGGGTTCTTGTCTTCTGGATGGATATTGTTAAACTAGATGAGTGCCACCCTGAGAGTCATATATTAGTCTTCATTTTTTTAAAGAAAAAAATTGTCTGTGTCTCAATCTTCTCATGGCATAAAATACTCCTCAGATGGTGTTGCAGCTCAGCTGTTTGCACAGGATTAGTTCTGTGTCTCCAAAAACAAAAGTGTTCTGATAAAACTACGGAATTGCCTGGATTGGAAGAGACCTTAAAAATCATGTAGTTCTAATTCCTCTGCCATGAAGGGGCACATTCCAGGCTGCTCAGAGCCCCCACCCAACCTCTCCTGGAACACTGCCAGGGATAGGGTATCCACAGYTTCTCTGGGCAGCAGAGTTCACTCTTTTTTCATAAGGAGAACTTTATATTAGCACTTCAGCTGATATTTCTAATATTTCTGAAGTTTTGGAGAGATTTCTGCAGGTGGAGAGAAGTTTCTGGATTCCCCAAAACATTACATTGTAATATCAATGCCTTATAAATACACATGAAAGAGCAGCAATCGAAAACCAACATATGTGAGGTGAGCTGCACAGAGGAATGTATCATCCRGATAATAAAATTTTTAAGGAGAACCTCAACTCTCATTTCTTTGTTTTTTATTGTAATATGGTCAATGTGCGTACCAGTTAAAGATTTGTTCTGAGCTGTTTAAGACACTTAATAATACTTTTTCCACTGATAACAATTAAGCCACCAGCAGCTGTCTGAAGATATTATTSCAGCCCTATTCACCAACCCTCTGCTTGTTCCCTGACAGGTGAAATGACCCTGAGGACGCAGCACGTTCAGGACTCCAAGATGGGCTTTGTAATCAACGCCATTTACTCSATGGCCTACGGGCTCCACAACATGCAGCTGTCGCTGTGCCCAGGCTACGTGGGACTGTGTGATGCCATGAAGCCCATAGATGGTCGGAAACTCCTGGAATCCCTCATGAAGACCAACTTTACTGGGGTCTCTGGGGACATGATCTTGTTTGATGAGAACGGTGATTCTCCAGGAAGGTACTGTTGACAYTTGTCAAAGTGTTTAATAGCAGAGATGCTAACAGTACATAGTAGATAAGTGCAAACTCAACATGAGAGGCAAGATCTCATACTCCTAGTTTCACATCTCCCGATTTCTGCACTTATTTTTCAATAATAGATTTTAGGGAGTTTTTTATGTGCATTTTTCATGGTGTTTTAGGTGTAAAAGCTTCCTGCAGGAATTTGCCTTTTTATCTCTATCATTTAAAAGTATTATTATTGAAAAAAAAAAAAAAAAAACCAGANCAGACCTTTAACTTTATGTTTGTAGAGAATGATGTCCACCACAGCCTATTTCTCTTTTTATTTGGGTGTTTAAATGTACGTGTTTGGTTGAACTATGAAAAATCATAACAGACATAGATTTCTTTTCTTAAGAAATCTAAAACAATATCAGAAATATTTTATTGATATGTCTGTGATTATTTTTTTAAAATCAGAATTAGTAAAAACCCACTTACATATCTTCCAAATGAAATCTTTCCACTTGCATAACACACAAAGCCATCAATTCATACTGTGCTGATCTAAGCCAAATTAAATCAAACAAAGCTAATTTTGCTGGTAACATACATACATAAGTGTACATACATCTATTAAATATTCGAAATTTTTTTCTGTGACATATGCATCCATATAAATGCACATTAAAAAGAGTGATGAGGTGGGGATTTTTCTGGGTTGCTGCATACCAAATTTTCAGATGAACAGCAAGTGTGATAATATTGAAAGTGTATTTATTCCCTATATTTCAGTGGATTTCCTGTCTTAAGTCACTGCTTTTGCTCCAGTATTGTTTGAGGTAGCCCTTTATGCCCATATTTTTTGCGTTTTTAAACATCTTTGTTATAGTACCATATAGAGATGATTAGAGTAGACTCATTTAAATTTCGTCTTCTCCCACTAATGTGAACTGAAAGGAAAGCATTAACTTCCTAGTGGAAATGGGTAGGAAAATTTAGACTCTTTGGTCAAAATATTTTGACATTTCCTAAAATTTCTGCAATTTCAAAACTGATTTTTTTTTCCTCATATTATTTGCAAACCTGTAGCCAGCTTTCTCCCCAAAAGCAAGCAGGACAGCCACCTACACAGCAGTCTGTGTCTGTTTCTGGAGACACAAATTTTCAAATTCTTCAGATGCAAACTCTAAGGAAGGGCACTGTGAGCTGGTAGGAGAACTCACACACAAACTGGCAGAAACCTAGGAAAATTTCAGATTCTGAGCTTTTTTAGCATGAGTCAGTCTGTCTTCTGCTAAATGTTTCTATTTTTACAAATAGCTAAATTTTGAAGAAAAGGGTCTGAATTTTTCTGACCAAATTATTTTTACAATATTTGTCTCAGACTTCTTTAAAAGAATTTCTTTTCRGCTTCAATGGTGCTCAGATTCACTGGACTACATCCTGCCCTCTTTGAATCAGTTTTACTCATTTCTTGCATAAAAACGACTGCAATGAATGAATGATGTGTGGCCTGCCACAAACAAATATGTGACTTGACAACACCAGTAACAATATCTAAATATTGCAAAGAGATCTTTTGCTTTACCTTTTCCTCATGTTGGCATCTTTAGCAATACTAATTTAACACCATTTGTTGCAAGGAATTTAATTTAATATCTTGTATCTTTTTAAATTCCAAGAAAAATGATTAAGAAATTATATTGCGTGCAGTCCTTTGCTCAGTCACAATAGGACATAAGTATTTCACTGAAGAGAAAGGGCACACCAAGTCGAATGTGCATCTCAGGATAGCCCAGCCTTAGGAAAGTTCTGGATTTGTGCTATATTTTTGTCTACTCAAACTAATCAACTGTGTATGGTTACAAAGTGGTCCCAGAGTTTGTTTTCTTTTGAATCATAGTTCTTTGTTCCAGCTTTTCCAACAATAATCTCATCATTTAATCCAGTCTGTGTGCTTGAGTCAAAATTTACTCTTTCAGAATTAATATTTTATARGAAGCTCCATTTCTAACATCCAAGTTTTAAGTAGTGTATAGTCTTTCAAGCTCTGTCAAACAYTATTTGCAAGAGCTTGGAGATGGTGCAGTCACACTGGAACAACTCATCTGCTCTCTACACTTGCACTGATAACTGCATCTTCACTTTGTAAAACAAGAATTTAAACCCTTACAGCTGCACTGTGGTGGTGGTGTTAARCAGGAAATCAGAACATAAAAAGCCTTTCTGACCTACATAGCTCAGGATTTTGATGTATAGCAAAAAGGCTTTGATATTATACAACACATGATTAATCCCACAAGATGCTTTGAATTCTGGCCCTATTCCAAAGTCCTTWATGTGTATGTTGAGTTTTAAGCAGACAGTCTAGTGTAGGGCCTGTTTTATGTGAGACAGGAGACATGGAAAAAACCAAATGAGTGTGGAAGCCATGATTCCTCAGGAAGATAACTATCTGTAATATTATCAAAACTCTGAAGAAGAAATTGAAGAGGCAGGAACAGGCAAGAACAAAACAGTATGCTGATATTATGACTGTGCCACCAATAGAACATATATTCTCAGCAACTTTATGGCACTCCTGTTTTGAAACAAGTATTTTGCACAGTGATTAGAGCACTGCTGGAAATGTGCTATTGTGCCATCTGGTCTCTCCTATCCYAAAGTGACAAACTGTCCCTGTATTATCTCAAGGAACCTCCAGGGAGTCAGTGACTCATGAACCCTCCACTGTAGCAATGAACTTACTGAATCTGGCTGTTTCTACCCATCCATCAAGGCTGCTCTCCACAGCGAAGAGAGACAAGACTTATTGAGACAACACTATATTAAATTTGTTAGGTTCCTTTCCAGTATTCCCCTTGGGATATATGTATGGAACTACTGCTGGGGAGATCACTGGTTCAGGTTCTGTGGCCAATTAAGCACTGGCAGTACTTTGTCTGTCCATGAAACCAACTGAAAGCTTTAACAAAGCTGTACTCAGGTGCGATGCAATGTCCTGAAAATGCTGAATAATGGCTCTACCATGGTTTCTGGGCTAAATTTTTGGTTAGTCTGTTTAATCCTTGACAAAATGTTACTATGCCTGTGAGCCTCCAAAAAAAGTTGGTTTATAAYCACGCACTAAAGTCTGTTTCTTTGAGCTTGTACTTGTGTTAACTGGATTCAACTAATTTGTGACAGTCTGGTATTCATATCTCCAACTTTGAGGAGATTATTGTYGAAGCTGTGGACATTTCCTTCTTTATAGGAATAGTGAAATATTTCAAAATTCAAAAGTATATTTTTTTCATTCTACTATTGCTCATTTCTTCTTCTGTGGGCAAGACTCAAGAACAACGTAATATGTGTAATACCACATTGCCCATTCAGTCAGACTCAAATTTAATTTCCTTTCAGAGCCTGTTTGCAGTCCTGATCCTGACTTGAGTGTGATTTTGGCAATGATTCCCTGCTGTACCATAGTTTCCCCACTGTGACAAACTTGATGCAAAGCATCCTGRGATCCATGGATGGATAATATTATAAAACAGTTTTACTGTAATTTTTTCATGTCAGTATGGGGAAAATATTGAAGTTAGATGGCTACTGCTTGTCAGTTTCAAAAGTGTCCTCAAAAATTAAGAGAGATATCTGTGTATYTGTYGTGGTTTAACCCCAGCCAGCAACTAAACTTGCTCAGTCCTCCACCTACAGGGATGGGGAGAAAATTGAAAGAGCAAGAGCTAGAAAATGAGTGGGTTGAGATAAACAGTTTAATAAGAAAACAAAGTCCATGCACACAAGCAAAGCAAACCAATAAATGCTTTCATTTCTTCCCCTGGACGATCTTCAGGTGATCAGCCATCTCCAGGAGAGCAGGGCCCCATCAGGTRTATTGGGAAGACACATTCCATAGCTCCAAACATTCCCTGTTTCCTCCTTCTTCCCTTGCTGTATACACTGAGTATGATGTCATGATGTGGAACATTCCTTGRGTCACTTGGGATCAGCTGAGCCTCCTCTGAACTTCCCATTCTTTCCCAAACTCCTTGCCAACGTGATGGTGCAAAAAGGTTTTGGCTCTGTGTAAATACTGTTCATAATAACAAAAATATCTCTATATTATAAACTGTGTTCAGCACAAATCCAAAACACAGCCCCTGTGTATTCCAACCAAATCCAGCAGGGTATCTTACTTAAGAGATTGTTTGATTTAATGTGTGGGTTATTTTCCTTATCTGTATATTGATCTTCAGAAATTGCACTCGTACAGTACCACTCTTAATACAACCCTGTTCATATGCTTTGCCTTCAGGACCAATTTGCCTCCAAATACTGACAGAAAGAAGATGTCTCCTTGTKTATTAATGAGGCTGCTTTTCTAAACCTGTGATTATCTTAACCTTCTTGGTCTATACTSTTTTCTTGCTTTCCATCAGTGAATTTCATATTTCTTGGACAGATTTAATGCAAAATCCAGTAGAGAGGAGGTAAAGAAAAGCATGACATCATTACTTCAGGAGGTGCCCAACTTTTTAAACATGCCTTACAAAAGAAGTACTAAAGTGCTAAAAGAACATGCCTGTAAGGCAGAGAGGTGGGCTGGYGTTCAGCAGTAGGAGGCAGTGAGTCCCATGTGGCTCCACAGACTTTCTGCAGGATTCTGTGGGAGCTGAAGAGAAAGTAGGAGGAAGAGGAACGTGAAACTGAAAACTCTGATCAGCTCTATCTTTGACCCAAAAGCAGCCTAGGAATGAGTCATGAATACTTCTTCTCTGCCATGCTATACTTTACAAGGAATTAAATTGTGTTTTGATCACTGAGAAATTATATAAAAATGATTGTGCGGATGGGAAAGACCAGCGTTTGCTGCTGCAGTGTTGGAGAAAAGGGACAGTAAAAAAAAAAAAAAAAAAAAAAAAAAAAAAAAAAAAGGAAATAGGAAATATTCCCGGACTCTCTGCCAGAAGAATGATACCTGATTCCTCTTTGGGTGCCACACAATTTTCATCTTGCACTCTTACACCATAGGAAGTTTCCTTTGATCACACAGACCTAGACTGCTTCTACCTCACTTTGAGAGTTTATCTGTCTTCTCTCAGGAGGGGAATAAGCACCTGCAGGCAGTGAAGAGCAATAGTGTCAGGAAGTGGCATTATAGGTTTAGATTACTCAGCATCTGTCATAGAGGGAACTGGGGTTTCTTATGTAATTGGCTTCCAGGGCTGAAAGTTGCACAGAATTAATTCTGTTTGACTCATTTCATTATTTTCTTGAATAAATAGTCGTTCTCAGAAGCAGTCATTTAATCCCATGATATTCATTTCTGGTGATAGAAAAAAAAAAAAACAAAAAAACAAAAAAACCCCACCCCAAAAAACCCCAAGAGTAAACCCACACCAAAACTGAATAAAGAGCAAACAAAGAAAACACCCCTACTCCCCTAACTTAACATATGAAGGAAAAGCATGATTATGGTATCATAAATTATTGTGAGATACTCAGGGGCAAGCATAATGCTTTATATTTTTTCTTCTGTGTTTCAACTTGATTGATTTTTGATTGCATGGTGTTCCTTTAATTTGAAATACTTTCTGATGCTCCCCTCAACTCAGCTATATCTCTCCTTTCTCTTTCCAAAGATATGAAATCATGAATTTTAAACAAATGGGGAAGGACTATTTTGATTATATCAATGTTGGCAGCTGGGAYAATGGTGAGCTGAAAATGGATGATGATGAAATATGGTCAGAGAAAACAAATATCATCAGATCTGTGTGCAGYGAACCCTGTGAAAAAGGCCAGATAAAGGTAAATATTTTCTTTATTTATCATTCTTGTAGTATGCATATACCTTGAAATTTGAAAGTCAGTTTTTTTCTTGAATTTTACATGGAGACAGTATCCTACATCTTAATTGAAATGTTCAATTTATGTATTTAGTTTTTACTCTTGTCATAATGATCTCAATATTTCCATAAACTGCTATTTTCTTGCCTCCTATATCTGTGGATTTCTGAATTTTTTTTTTTTTTTTTTTTTTTTTTTTTTTTTTTTTTTTTTTTTTTTTTTTTTTTTT